AAAAGCAAGTGTAGTACTGGAATTGGGGACCGGCATGAGGATAAATAGAAACACTGAATTCCATAGGGGAGGTCAAAGCCTGTGCTTTCTTCCTATGCTTCCCTGTTCTGTACTTGATCCAACTTATCTGTAGCTTCTGGAACAGTCTGTCCTGAACTAGTTATGTGACTGTGGGCTGCTTATTTGTTCTCTCTGAAGCTCAGTTCACCATCTGTAAAATAGGGATAATAATTGTTATTTAAATAGCTTGTCTTAAGAATTAAATTAGATGGGATCATATATTTAAAGTGACTGATACACATTACCTGATATGTAAAAGGCACTCAATCAGTTGTAGCAATTATTCTAGAACATACGGAGTAAAGAAATGTTGACAGAACAATGTGCTGGGTAAAATTCCACTTTTTATAGCATTTATTCCTTATAACAATCCTGAGGGACTTGTATTATTATTTCTACTTTATAAATGAGGAGACGATAATAATAATTTTTTCCTATGTGCCACACATTGAGCTAAACTCTTCCAGGTGTTGTCTCATTCAAACTGAGACAGGTGTTATTAATACCTTCATCTCATAGTTGAGGACACTGCGGTCTAGAGAGTGTGACTTGCCCAACATCGTACAATTAGTAAGTGACAATTAGAGTGTACGTCTGTCTAAAGTTAGGACGGTCTGACTGCAAAGGATTTCCAAAGTCACGTAAGTGCTGAGTCAAGATTCAGGTCTTGTTAAAGGCAGTTATTTCTTCGGTTCACAGCCAGAGGTACATGCTGATTGAATGAAGGGTAGTGGCAGGCATGCACCTATAAGGGTCTCGCGTCGGAATCTGAGTGCCGTGGTGAGACAAGGGTAAGTCGTTTTGGATAGGATACCGTTATGGTTTGGCTGTTCCCTCCAAAACTTATGTTCAAATTTAATTGCCATTGTGACAGTATTAAGAGGTGAGACCTTTAAGAAGTGGTGAGGTCATGAGGCTTCACCCACATGGATTAGTGCTGTTATCTTGGGAGTGGGTTAGTCATGGGGGGAGTGGGCTTCCAATAAAAGGATGACTTTGGCCCCCATTTTCCCTCTGCCACATGTTCGATCACCATGTGATGCCTTCTGCTATGGAGTGACCCTCACCAGATGTGGTCCCTTGATCTTGGACTTTACAGAGTCTAACAAATACATTTCTTTTCTTTATAAATGACCCGGTCTGTGGTATCCTATTACAGCAGCAGAAAACAGACTAAGGTATAGATTTTTTTTTAAGTTTTAGTAATTCAAATATGTCAAAATAAGTTCTCTGAGACCTGAGGAAGTGATTTCACAAACATGATATATATCTATTGTATGTTAGGCAATGAAAGAGAGCTTGGCATTGTGGGGTGCAAGGTGATGGAGGCTTGAATCCCTGCCTTTAAGGTGCTTTCATCCTGGTGGAAAGAGACTAATTCACAGAACTAATTATAAAGCATATAGCAATGGATCAAAAGAACGGTGGTAGTCATCGGAGAGAACAATTAATTTGGTGGTGAAGGGAATAACGGTGGAAGGAATTGGGAAAGGCATCACAAAGGAGATGGCATTTGCAATGGTCCTTGAGGGGTGAATGTGGAAGTACTAGAAGTCTTCTATAGTTTGCTTTTTCTTCACACCAGTGGTTTTGTAAAGGGTGCTATAAAGTAGCATTATAACGACTAAATAATAGATTGAGGCCAGGCACAGTGGCTCACGCCTGTAATCCCAGCACTTTGGGAGGCTGAGGCGGGCGGATCAACTGAGGTTAGGAGTTCAAGACCAGCCTGACCAACATGGTGAAACCCTGTCTCTACTAAAAAATACAAATTACCTGGGCATGGTGGCACACACCTGTAATCCTATCTACTCAGAGGACTGAGGCAGGAGGATCACTTGAACCTGGGAGGCAGAGGTTGTAGTGAGCCGAGAGCATGCCATTGCACTCCAGCCTGAACAAAAAGAGTGAAACTCTGTCTCAAAACATTGAAAAAAGAAAAAACAACCAAAAAAATAGATTGACAGATAACAATGCTTTCAAAGATTACTTTCTTTGAGTGAAAGTGGAGAAATATCTACTCTTACTAACTATAAGAATATGTTGGCATTTTCCTAGTCTGTACTTACACAGAGTTCTGTTGAAGAAATCACAAAATGGAGTACCCTGTTCTGTGCTTTCTAGATTTGGGTTCTAGGGTTGTACTGAAATCTAACAAGGGCCTGTGAGTCCCTGGCGTGACCATATGGGACACTGCTGTAAGTTCTTGCATAGCACAAAGGAGTTCTAAGGTACTGACAGATGGGTCATTTATTCATCTACTCTTTGATTCGAGATTTTAGTCTGTGGTTGGGAATATCCTTTTTTTTTTTTTTTTTTACATGAAATTCCAGGCTTTCTGGATGTGGTGGGTTTTTTGGCATCAGTCGTAATTTAAAACATTCTGCCTTGTCTCCGTAAGTACATCCATGATTGGTGGTCAATGTATTTTAGTGGTTGTTTCTGGTTGTTCATTATATTGAGTTTCCACATCCTAGTCTTGTTTAAAGAGGGCCTAATAGACATCTTCTGAATTATGGACTTTATTCACTTGCTGTGACAAAGCGCATACTCGTCTTTACACTGTAAGGTAAAACCCCAGCTAAGATCTCTGGTTCTGTTTTGCTTTGGTTGTTTGCTCAGCTTCTGTCTTCCCAAACTCTGCAAATGGGCAATGAGAAGACTCCTCCTTCTTTCAAGATCTGGCTCAAATGTCACTTTCTTCAGAGTCTTTCTTAATTCCTAGGGCCAGAGGACTCTTGTGTCCATGTTATCTTCTACTTTGCTTAGAACGATCATATTAGAGCTGTACCTGTTCACTATCACAAATCCCTTAATAGACAGTAAACCAGAGCGTAGGGATTTAGGTCCTATTCACTCTGCTTCCCCTAGAGCACCCAGCAGAGTCCCTCTCCTTACACGTGGTTGTGCTCAGTGACGTTTACTGAACTCAACTGAACTGAATTCTTGGCTTCACTGGATTTGCTTGGCGTATGGTAACATTAATATCTGTGCCCCAGTTCCCCTTTGGAGAAGAAATGCTGCCTTAAAACTCAAAAGCATCAGCCAGGCGTGGTGGCTCACGCCTGTAATCCTAGCACTTTGGTAGGCCCAGGTGGGCGGATCACCTGAGGTCAGGGGTTCGAGACCAGCCTGACCAACATGGTGAAACCCCGTCTCTACTAAAAATGCAAAAATTAGCTGGGCATGGTGGCGCACACCTGTAATCCCAGCTACCGGGGAGGCTGAGGCAGGAGAATCCCCTGAACTCAGGAGGTGGAGGTTGCAGCGAGCCAAGATTGTGCCATTGTACTCCAGCCTGGGTAACAGGAGTGAAACTCCATCTTGAAATAAATAAATAAATAGCATCTTAACTGATTTTGGGATGAAAGACACCATGTCCTATAAACAGTAATTGTAATTACTATTAATAAGCATCATTAAAATAATATGAACTGATAGGATTACTTCCTTTGCTTGCTTTTGGTGGCAGAGTTAGCAGGCTTGATAAACTAACTGATGTTTTCCATCTTTAACATCTACGACTTTTTGAAATTGTATATAGACAAGTGCAAACTAATGTACACTGGAAGGAGCAATTGAAACAGCTCATACTCACTGGTGGGCTCTGAATTACTCTACTTGTAAGTGCTCGGGAAAAAGATCTCAGATTCATTGTGGATTGCTCAATGGAGACATCTGCTCACTGTGCAGCAGCAGTCAGAAGAATGAATGAGATATAATAGGCTGTATTAACTTTGAGAATGGGATAAAGAATAATGCAGAAAATAATATAGTGTGCATAATTTGGCATTGACTATTTCTGTAATTACAATAAAACATTTTAATGATATACATTGATGTTATGACTTCGCCTTAAAATCGGAATTCAGCATTGGGTCCTTTCATTTCAACGAAAACAAAGCAGAAATACAAAGGATTCCGAGAAAAACAACAGACAGTCTCAAAGACATACAGGGATTTGCCTGTAACGAGAAACTGAAAAGACAAGGACATTTTAATTTGGGTAAAGGGAAAAATGACATTGTATAATTTTATTTAAAATTAATGAAAATTTCAGAAAATTGCTAGAGCTGGCTTGTGTTTATCCTTGGTAATGGAGGTCAGAGATAGGCAGGATAATTGGAATCCTTGATAATCTCCAATCCTCATTTCAGTTATTAGTTGCAGATCCTATCCTACCAGTAGTTTTAACAAATGAACAAATGTAACACAAGACACGACCGCTCAGGGTTTGTGAAGCGAACAGCTCATGAGAACAGCAGCCTGGGCCATCGAGAAGTCCACAGAATTTGGAAACAGGTGACCTGGTTTCTAGTCGTTGCTTCCTATTCATTGTCTGCACAACCTTGAATGAATGAAGCGTTTAATTTCTATGAGACCAGTTCCCACATCTGTAAAACGGAGCTCATGGAAATACTTATGTTACAGGATTGTTGGGAGAACAGAGTGAGCTAGCTGGAAGTGATGGCCGGACTGCACTGGGCGATGCTGAGTATTGGTTGTCGAGGGTGATTCCACGTGCAGCCTCAGGGGCTGACATAGCTCCCGGTCTCTCGTGCTCACACCGCACCTTTCTTTCTCTTCAACATCCTACTTCTTCTGTTCTTGGCAAGAGATTTTAGAAGAAGTATAAAACATTTTCTTTGTCTCCAGAATCCCCGTTTCTACTCCCTTGCTCCCAGAAAGCCTTAAAATAATTTTGCACGTATTTTTATTAATGCACGATTAATTAGAGGTCATCGCATGTAATCTTCACAGCAGCCCCTTGAGGTGGGTACTGCGATTATCCTCATCTTTCAGATGCAGACCCTGAGGCATAGAGGGCTTGTTTAAGAACACACAGGGATGGCAGACGAAAGAGTCAAATTGATGCTATCATGCCTCTGAGTTGGTTTACAAAGTCTAGAAAACTGAGTTATGTGACTGTACTGATTTCTCCCCTGGGAAGTGACTGGCTTTCCTTATTGCCCAAGGAACTCCTACTCTATACTTTGGCACCAACTCAGGACTCACCTGGCCCCTCTCTTCCCCTGTAAGAGATCATCTCGTTTGCCTTCACACCCTGTATTGTAGCTTTTAATGTATTATTTGGTTAACAACAGCAGAAACCCTTATACCCAATTCAATTAATAATTAGTGATTTAGTTGAACAAGTTAGTCAAGGCAGGAATCATACAAAATGATGAAATCATACCTTAAGCTTTTATTTTAACTTAAAACATGCCTCAAGTTGTTGATGCTGGGCTAAGACCTCATCTTTGGAGTTGAAGGCCTCCCATTAGACTTCTGAATTTTCTTTCTTATATAAGTCAGACCTCGGAGGCTTTCCCAGTCATTGTTGTCCTGGGTTCTTTAAAGTGGAGCAAGATCTTAAAGGCATTTGTGAGACAATCAGATTTTCCCGATTTCGTGATGTTTTATGTTTGGATTGCGCATGCCTAAGCTGACAGCACATTTTTAGTAATTCACTTTTAAAGGCTTTTCTGAGCATTCACTTTAGATCTTATAGAAACAACATCTCTTTGCACTCATATTTCAGTACTTTAAGTTAGTTTAATTACAATAGCAGAAAGAACTAGCATAAATGGGCTTGGGAGCAAACACTGACTCTTGGTGAGCAGACAGCTCCACTGGTGGGAGCAATGGCATACAGGTGTCCTAGAGTATCTACTAGCAGTGAGGCTCAGCACATCGTGGGCCGTATGTCTTTACGTTTCTTCATTTATTTCTTAATGTATTTTTTTGAGACAGGGTCTTGTTTGACCAGGCTGGAGTACAGTGGCACAATCATGGCTCACTGAAACTTTGACCTCTTAGGCTCAAACAATTCTCCCACGTCGGCATGAGTAGCTTAAACTACAGGAGTACATCACCACACCTGGCTAATTTTTAATTTTTTTTTGTAGAGACAGGCCCTCACTATGTCACCCAGGCTGGTCTCGAACTCTTGGGCTGAAGTGATCCTCCCACCTCAGCCTCCCAAAGTGCTCTGATTACAGGCATGAGCCACTGCACCTGTCCATCTTTACATATAAGGAGGGAATGGAAATCACAGATTAGTCACTTAAGCGCTGGTCACTTGAGACCGCTCCTGCTCAATATGACAGCCGTTTCATGTCTTTGCCATAGATGAATGCCTTGAAGGTCTAGCTTTTATCTTTCTAGTTAGTCCCAGAACCTAGAGCGGTGATGGGTATACGGTGAGCCCTCACTGACCATTGACTGATTAGCTAATTGGTCATACCAACAAAAACAAAGCTAGGCTTTGCCACTGCACATCCTCTGGTGGGGGTACCAAGCAGCAATCCACTGTCTAGAAGCTGAACAAGGGAGGAAGAGACAGAGACAGATCTAGCAAGTGAATTTCTAATATTGCTGCAGAATAAGATGATGTATATGGTTAAATAGTTTAACAATGTAAGGCAGCTGTAAGGAATATGACTTTATAGTAATATGTAATTAACCTGGGTAACTCACCAGCACAAAATAACAGTACACAACATGTTTGGCAACATTTTATAATGGATTAGATCCATTCTTGTGTGAGGGGAAAAATCCTCATTTACAACCATGATATCTGAGCACAAAAAGTCTTTCTGATGATTGTGTTCAAGGCCAGCCAGATCAAGAAAAAATTTCCCTCACAGATATATCCTTGCAGCTTTGAGTTTATTATCTGTTCCTGTGACAAAGTAAAGCATCTTGTATTGAGCACCAGTAGAGGAAAGAAGTCAGATCTGAATGTTATTCAACTTGACAGAGACATTCTGTGGTAAGTGATTGGTTTGGAAGATAGGGGTAAAGGCTTGGTGATCGCAGGGATACCCTCTTCCTGAGCTAAAGCAGGCAAATACATTTAGCCTTGTGCTCAATAAATGAATTTCACTTTGAACTAAAATACAGTGAGCAAGCAGAGTTGGAAAGTTGTAGAATATTTACCCGACCATAGGAAATGGGATAGAAAGAAAAAATATGTATATATATTTTATATATGTATGTGTAGAATAGAAACAATCTTCCATAGGATCCGATGGGTGCACACTTTCTCATTAATTTTCCATATTGGGAATCTGTGATCTCCTTCCAATTATTAATTATTTAGGACCCCCCTGTTCCTCTAGAGGTTGTGAAGCAGTTATCTAGAAAACGAAGGATGAAATTAACATTGTACTGAGCACTCATTGTGTGCCAGCCATTATGATAATTATTTAATATATGTCAGCATATTCCTTTGAATATAAGTTGCCACTGATTTTTGTAAGACCCGCATTACTTTATGTGCCACTACGAAAGAAAAAAACACACCCAAACTGTATGTATACTGTACATGCCACCAATATTAAAAATGCATCTTCATTTCAGATGTGAACAAATGTGCATCTTAGAATCAGTGAGATGTGGTATGTCATTTAATTATCTCAACAACCCTTAAACTAAGTAATAATATGGGTAGATGAAGAAAGTAAGGCTCAGAGAAGTCAAGTAATTTGCCTAAAGTCAAACAGCAGGTAAGCGTCAGAGCTGGGGTTTGACCCAGATCAGCCTGCCTCAAAATCCAGTATGCTGTCCTTGGTACCATGCTGCTGACTCAAATCAGCACTTGCCCAGAGCTCAGAGCTAAATAAATACATAAATAAATGCATGGTGTTCTACTAAAAGCATTTATCTTTGGAATTCTCTCCCAAAGACCTTTCCTCAGAGGAAACTGTGGATGACTCTAGAGCCAATGGCCGCCATGGATTTCTAAGAGTAGGAGATCTTGAGTTCCTTGGTCTGGTCTCCCTCTGGCGTCAGATAATGCCTGCTGCCCCCATCAACCGCAAGGAGCCACACATGCTCCGTGGACGCACAGTGGGCTTTGCTTTTATCTACTTGTGGGTCCGGGTTGTATCTGTGGAGACATGGATAATGAGCCTTATACATCTTACCATGACATGGTCCTTCCTGTATTTGAAAACAGGTGTGAGCCTCCCCGCAAAGACTTCTTTTCTCCTGGTGGGTCATTCTGAGTTCCTTACAGGGTGTGATATAGAAATCTCTCTTTATCTCCAGCTACTGTACTGAATGCACTTCAGTTTGTCTGTGGTCCTTTTAAAGAGAGGCATTCAAAATTGACTGAGGGGCTCCACATGGAGCAGGTGAACCATCACCTCCTTGCTTTGGGCCATGCTTCTCTGGGTGCAGCCTGAGAGTGCATTTGATTTTTCCAGAGCCTCATCACATAAGTATAAACTCCTCCCCCTGCTTCATCTCCTTTCCTCTCGCCTTCTCTCCTCTTCCTTTGAAACACATGCTGCTATGTAGGCACCTTGGACTTCTGTACTTTTTCTGTTGGGCTTAAATTATCTCTGCTTTATCACTTTCGAAATTTGTCTTGTTAGAATTGATATTTTGAAGGTTTCTTTTCCTTTTTTGTTTTAGGTCATCTCTCTTAATTTTTTTTTTCTTTACCAGGAAAGTCAGTGATCTCCTAATTTTGTAACATCCTCAAATGAGATTTTTGAAAGTATTTTCTATAGCTTTAACCAAATCATTGCTATATCAATTGAGCAGGACAGGCTCAAAGACAGAGCTCTTTGGGAGGTCATAAGAAATCTTTTAGTTGTTCCGTTACCAATCCATCAGATTCCTCTGTCATCAGCCTGTATTTCTCTACCTTGTCTATAAAAATAGCAGTTGCTACTTTGGGAGGCCGAGGCGGGTGGATCACGAGGTCAAGAGATCGAGACCATCCTGGTCAACATGGTGAAACCCCGTCTCTACTAAAAATACAAAAAATTAGCTGGGCATGGTGGCGCGTGCCTGTAGTCCTGGCTGGGGCAGGAGAATTGCCTGAACCCAGGAGGCGGAGGTTGCGGTGAGCTGAGATCGCGCCATTGCACTCCAGCCTGGGTAACAAGAGCGAAACTCCGTCTCAAAAAAAATAGCAGTTGCTTTATATGTGCCATTCCATTCAAACTGAAAAATTTCACATATCAAGTACTTTCATTCCTGTTTTAGGCAGACCAAACTTTAGATTGGTGAAGCAGTTTGCCCAGAATTTCCTTGTTTGTTAAAAGCAGAATCAGAATTTGCACCCAAGTTTTCATGTCCCTTCTCTTCTGTCACGGTTGTACCCATTGTGCATTACCTTGATGAAATGCAGAGATGGTATTTTTACCTCATTTTCCTGGACCGCAAGACAGTGCTTTGGACCCCAACGAGCCAAATGGTATAATAGAAATGTACTCTCCTCCTTCTTCCTTCACAGCAAGCAAGAGAGTGAATACCTCACCCTAGTCTAAGGACAGTACTCACACCCTTACCTTCCCCACCGGCTTCTTTTAGAAACAGATAGAAAAATAGTATTTGGGAAAGAAGATTCTTTCTCCGGGCTGTCTGAGCAATGGAACAGTAGTTGGGTTCTGAAGGCCAGGAACTAAGACCCAGAGAAAACAGAGACTTTCAGAAGCCAGGAAAATGCTGGTTACCGAAACTCTTGGAAACCAGAGTTAGAAAGACTGGCCGTCACTCTCTTCCTCTAGGATATGCTAAGAGGACTTCATGTTACAGAATAAGTACAGACTGTTGTCAAGTTAAAAGAACAGAACAGGAAAAGAACATAAATGAGGCGGGGAGCCACTCCTTTTCTTCAGACCGCAACTGTTATCAAGCTTGTCGGTAGGCAAGGCGTGTGGGATAGATGAAATTCACGAGGAGCGGTCGCCCAAGGTGAGTGTCAGATGCCACGTTTCTCTCTCACTGAGGGGCTGATCTTTGATGGATTCCTTAAGCTTTCAGGAGGAGTCTTAACTACTAAAAAGGAATAAGGCCAGGCGTGGTGGCTCACTACTGCAATCCCAAGGTGGGTTGGGGGGATTGCTTGAACCTAGGAGTTTAAGACCAGCCCTGGCAATGTTGTGAGATCGCGTCTTTATAAAAACACATACATACCTAATTTTTTTAAAGTAATAAAAACAAGGCATCCTTACTTTATGGAGCATCATGATTCTCAGACATAATAACAGATGGCTTACAATGTACTCACAATATGTGTAATTTAAATAACGGGGACATCTAGGTATCCTTTGATTCATAAGGAGAGTCAAGATCAGCGCCTGAAGCAAAAGATACTGAGTGAGGAAAAGTTTCCTTCTTGCTTTCAAAGCAAATGTCATACCCATTTTCTATGTAAACAGAAGTCTTTGCTCCATGAGGAAGTTCATTCACTATCTTTGTTCCAAAGCAAAGTCACTTAAGATAAATGAACTTACCAGTGCAATTGATTGAGGTAAACCCCAACACACAGTTTAGTCTTTCTGGAATGCTAATATAGAACAGCAAAGAATTAGGGAATTAACTGAAACTTTTATCTTTTTTTTCTGAAAAGGAACTGCTCAACTCAAAATTAATTGCTAAGGGAAATGGTTTTACATTATTTCCCATAAACCTACCATGGGGATTGAAGGACCATGGGTAGTGGAGAGGCACAGACACGGAACCTATGTCCTAGGGCACTGTTAACACCGTGCATAATTTTCAGCAACTCCCAAGTGACTTTTTCTGACATCCATTCCATGTAAAACAATGGAAACCTATTTCCAGGCTTATTTGTGTTTCCCAGGGGCCCTTACATGCCTCTGTGAAGATTAAAGGGCTAGACCCTTCTTATTCCCTCTTATGATTATTCATAATTTTCTAAAATCATCTTATTGAATGATACAACACAGAGATGAATTTTAGGATCTGTTTGTCTATGTGTTCACTTGCTCATTTATTCTTTAACAAATATTTATCAGGCACCTCCTTCACGTCATGTTCTCTGCTAGGAACTTAATAGGCATAAAAAATGAATAAGATTCAGTCCCCATCCTTAAGGAGCTCACAATTTAATAGGGGCATAAGACATGTACACAGATCACTGTAATACAAAGAATACAATAAATGCCTTAAAGAGATTCAGACAGAATCCTGGTGGGAGGTTCACATCTAGTCAGAAAGAGCAGAGAAAGTATCATGGAGATGGTATCATTTCACTCTGGGGATTGACTCGTATAGGAGCTCAACAGATGTTATTGGAGGAAATGTCAATTCAGACCCAGAACGTGGCATAAATAAAAAGACTCATGATCCAAGGAGAGGAAGTAAAGCAGTTTGCCCGGAACGCAGGATGTATTAGGCAAATGTGGAGAAGAAATAGGACAGCAAGTCAAGATACCTGGGAGAGCATCTTAAACAGTGGGTTAGAGAATTCGAATTTTGTCTTGGGTCCTGGGGAGCCATTAAACATTCTTGAGCAGGAAAGTGACATATGCAGGCCTTTATTTTTGGAAGACATAGTCTGACAGTGCTGCATGGGTTGGATGGTATAAGGGTCAGAAGACCAGTTTGAGAGTTATGAAGTAATTCTGGGAAGAAGTGATGAGGACTTGAATTAGAGTGATGGCGATAGAAATGCAAAGGGGAGTTGAGCTTCAGAGGCACTACTGAGGCTGACTCGGTGGGATTTGGGAAAAGACTGCATGGAGGCAGGGAGAGACTCACATGTGACTACGTAACTGGCAAATAATGATGCTCAAGAGAAACCGGGTGCGGGCTCTTGCACATCTGTACTTAGGAGCGTGGACGGGGGGTGGCAGGATTAGGAGTAATCTTTTTAAAAGGCAAATCAAATCTCATTGCTGTCCCACTTAATATAGAAATGGCTTTCCACTGTATTTAGAGTAAAATCCAGACCCCTCACCATGGCTTGGTAGAAGCCCTACACGATCTGGTCCCTGCTTTTCTCTGACCTCATCTCTTTTTTTTTTTTATTTTTTTTTTTGAGACGGAGTTTCTCTCTTGTTACCCAGGTTGGAGTGCAATGGCGCGATCTCGGCTCACCGCAACCTCCGCCTCCTGGGTTCAAGCAATTCTCCTGCCTCAGCCTCCTGAGTAGCTCATCTCTTAAAACGCTCTCCTTTGCTTCAGGTTTAGCCACACCGGCCTTTTTTCAGTTCCTCAAATGCACTGAGTTCATTTCTGCCTCAGGGCCTTTGCATTGGCTGTAGCCTCTGCCCAGAACACTCTGCCCTCAGGCCTTCACATGGCTGGCCCCTTCTTGTCAATCAGGCCTTAGCTTAAATGTCACCTCTTCAGATAGCTGTTCCTGACCAGTCAATTCTGATATCCCTCGCTCACAGCCACTCTTTATCACATGGTTCTGCTTTTTATTCTTCACAGCACTTACTAAAATCTGAAATGATCTTATTTATTTGTTTACGTTGTTTATGTCAGCTCCTCCTCACCAAAATAAGTCCCTAGAGTTTGTCTTGATCATTGCTGTGCCCTGATTATTAGAACAGAGATGGCCGGGCACGGTGGCTCACACCTGTAATCCTAGCACTTTGGGAGGCTGAGGTGGGTGGATCACCTGAGGTCAGAAGTTCAAAACCAGCCTGGCCATCATGGTGAAACCCCATCTTTAAATAAATAAATAAATAAAAATAGAACCAAGACTAGCACATACAAGGTACTTTATACATACTTATCGAATGGATGAATAAATGAGTGGGTGTTGGCTTCTCATGTGGGTCTAATAACATTCAGGTAGACATCAACGACTTTTAAAACCTGTGATATCCATCCAACTTAACCTTCAGTGTCCAAGTGAGTGTCCTTTGTCCTCCTGAGATCATCTACTTGGTAAACTTTAGCTGAAATGCTACCACGACTGAACTCACTGTTGGAATCCCTATTTTACAATTGCCTATAGAGTCGGCGCCACTTTAATAATGTAGAATATTAACAACTACTACTCATTACACGGTTGTACCAAGCACCATGCTAAGTGCGGTCACACATTCTCTCATTTAATCCGCTTTGTCATCCTGTAAAACCAGTGAAATGATTCTCCAGTGTTGCAGTTGAGGAAGCTGAGACTCCGAAACGTTAAATCCTTTGAATGGTGGCAGATCTGAGGTTCAAGTTCAGTCTGAGTGGCTCCAAAGCTGGCATGTTAACCACTTTGCAGCATTCTAGGAGGAGTGGGGGTGAAGGGCGAGAAGCTTCACTTCCTTTACGCGTGGATGTGACTTGAAAACAGCCAGCAGCTATAGAACAGATTCGTGGTTGCGCCCCCTACAGGCCTGCGATCTCACTAGTAAGTTTCTCAACGATAAAATGAGGCAAAGAACGTTCTCTCTTAGGATTGTTCTGGTGAGTGTAATCTGTAAAACACCTGGCACATTGTGGGAAAGTAAGTTTTTGCTCCCTTTCGTTTTGCATAAGAGACACAAGTAGCTCTTGATTCGATCAGGGTTTGATTATCTAGTTGGTGGATTATTAAGCCCCTGGCATTTTCTCATCTTTTCTATTATCATATTTAGTATTTTATAAATTGTTACCATTTCCATGTTGAAGTCAGGCAAGGTGAGGGATAGGAGGTTGTACTGTCTGTGAAAGGAACTGGAAAAATATAATCTGAAGTGATTGGTTCAAATTACTGCTTTATTATGTTTGGAGTCTGAGACCTTGGGGAAAACGTCTGGGTCTCAATTTCCTCAACTGTAAAATGAGAAAATATTACTTCTCTTCTACATCCTGAGAGTTGTTTTGAGGATCAAACTGTAGCTGTGAAAGACTTTGGAAGAGCATAAAGTTATACACAACTATAAGGTACCATTATCATTGCCTGCATTGTGAAATGAGAGTCTATCCTTCATTTTAGAAGGTCTAAAAGAATAAATGTGTTCTATTTGTGAACTGCCTAAATTAAACCTCTGCCATCCTTTATTCTTCTATTGAAACACTTCTCAAACCACACTCTTCTTCTTTTATCTTTATATCTGAAGTCTGGCTTAGCTAAAGTTGATCTCTATCTGGTCCAATATGGTAACCACTACCTATATATGACCATTTAAATTTAAATTAATGAATAAAAAATTAAAAATTCAGCTCTTTAGTCACACTAGCTTAATTTCAAGTACTCAGTAGCCGCACGTAACCGGTGGCTACCATATCGGACAGCGCAGATAGAGAACATTTCCATCTCTGCAGAACATTCGAGTGGACAACACTGCTGTTGATTCTCTTGAATTCCATTTTTTTTTCACGCTGTCTCCCATCTTCAGCCACGATAAAACCAAGCTAGTTATTCTTTAGTTAATCACCCAGTGTACTTGCCAATGACTACATCACAGACCGTCAAGAATCTAAAGGCTGTTAGCCATCCTCTACTCTAACCTTTTAATTGTATACAGGAGAAAATGTCAGCTCAAAGAGGCGAAATCACTTGGTCAAGCCCATACAACCCTTCCATGGATTTCCACTACTATTTTCACAATGTAACTACGAATACATTAGTAGAGGAGGCTTACATCCCTCTCGCAGAACTGCTAAAACCATCCATCTCAGAAGAAAATAGCCCTGAAACAGAACTTACAAGTGCTAGCTATTATCAGTGTGCGTTCTTCCTCTTGGTGAGTGCTCATTATGTCACAGCGAAGGTACGCTGCAAGTTTGATAACCCACCTTTGCACCTCTACCTCTGTTAAATTACAAGTGTCCTAAAAGGCTGGTTGCTTTGGGAGCTATTCTGTGATTCAGAATTCCCGAGACCCAGCTCAAATCCCCTGGGATAGGCCTTACCTCTTCTTTACACACTCATTTAAATTATGAAATATTGAATCTTTAAGCAAACTTTTAGAGAAATTGGAATGGAGATTGTTGTCTCCCAGGATTCCATGCAATACAGATACAAAACACTCTTGCTCATTGTTCTTGGTATGTAGTAAGTGCCCAGTAGATATTTGACATAGCTCTCGGGACACAGGAGGTGCTTGACAGATGTTTAATTCCCTTTCCTCCAGATCTACTCACTGCCACCCCCTTCCCCTTACCAGAGGCCAGCCCTTTTCTAGATAACCAACGCAACACTTACACTTCCCATCTTCTTGTCGCTAGAACTCTAAACTACCGCTTCTTACAATTATTTTCCCTTTGATTAATCTTCATTGACAGCCCGTAATCAAGGGCACAGCGTACCTAACAGTTGTAAAGTTGGTGGGGAGGGGGCAATATTTGTAAAATTTATCATGAAGACATTTAGCATCAAGACAGAGGATCTTGTTGGTGGAAAGCATTTCTAAAGACAACAGGGCACAACGGTTGAGGCAGGAAATATGCCAGAAACTTCACTGTGTAATTGCTCTATTTCTCCAATATGGGTCTGGATTGAGCAACTGTAGGGTCCATTCTTCAGGTGAAAATTGAATGTTGGGCCTTACTGGGAAACAGGCTAGCTTGGTACCTGAGAGCAAAATGTATGTGTAGGCAGGAGGGGGTCCAGGTTTTGTGGCGTCTGAAGCTTACTCAATTCAGGGGACCCTCCTGAAGAAAAGAATATTCAAAATTACTTAGATGCAGGGCCTTGGAAGTCATGGGCCATAATGCTAAAGTTTCATTGGCTTTCGTGTAAAGGATGAATCGTGTTTCTTTATGTTTAAGATACTCCACATTTATCTTGGAGAGGGACTGAGAGGTGGAAGCTAATCACAGAAAGATTCTGAATATGTAAAGTTATTGCATCAGGCACCTTTTACTAACTGATCTTGTATGGAAGCTAGAAAAAAAGCATTAAATTGGGCCCTGTGGGAAATAGAGTCGAGGCCGTTGGGAAGCTTGATAGGAGGAAAAGAACCTCTTACAAGGTGAGTAAGGAGTTTCACTCCAATGCGGATACTATCTGTTTACGGTTTTATTTTACGTAGTGAAGGGGCTGTGGTTTATTTTATTAATTTTTTGTTTTCTAAGAAAAACAGCCCCTTCCCAATCAACTTTCTGCTGACACACACACAGTTCCATCAAGAGCATTTTACAAACCCATTGGCTTTGGTGATATTTTCTTGTACAAGTGAATTCATGGACTGTACAGAATTGAGGAAATCAAGTAACATTTTTCAGAAGAGAATTTTTGGTTTGTTGAAATCTTCTTAATGGAGAGTATTAACACTGTTTCAACAGTAACATCATCAGTAAGTTCAGTAAGAACATTCTACTCTGGCCTGCTTTTCACAATCACAGATAACTTATTTCCAAAACATTCTATTTGAGTTGACATTTCCACACAAACTTGGTGTATGCCTAAAGGAAATTTGGGAGAGAAAGATAAAATGGGACCCAGTCATTAATTTCAAGTCAAGCAACAGCAAGAAGAAAACATTTCACTTATCAAACAGGTATGCTCCACAATTAATGGCACAAAACTCAATATCTTTAAAGCATCAAATTTGGCATGTAACTGACCTTCGATGAGAATAGTGCCTAACTCTGTTGAAGGAAAATATGTGGGGAAATAATGAGACCACAAGAAGTGAAAGCAAGTAGTGTTCCTGCACAATGAAGCTTAAACCCTTCTTGTCTTAGGAGCCCGCCCCTTCCCCCCTTCCCCTGCCAGGAACCAATCTCTCTTTCCTTCTGAAGTACAGATCCCCTTATCTACTTCCAGGGCGGCCTTGCTAGTGACCCAGCAGGTCTGACTGCCTTTCTGCTCCATTGCTGACTATCTGTTTCAAATTTTATGTGCCATTGCAGCTTTAACAAACACACCTTGAAATTGTGTGCCTTACTGCTCTGCAACTCACACGCACACACAAGCGTTAGCAAGCCTCCTGTGGCTCCATCCCTCTGTGACAAAGCATGCTAACTCCTTGCTGATGGAAGCCCTTGCATATCAAGCTTTGGAAGTGCTAATGATCTCACCTACCTCTGTAATCAATGCCTCATCCTCTTGGAAATGTCCAAGCTACTCTTATTCTCAAGAAAGTCCTAGTCTTGGTACTTCTCCCAATAGCCTCTGTCTTGGGATTGAAGCGCTTTAGGGGGAAGCATTTTGGTCAGATCATCTCCTAAGAAAGGCAGTTCTTTTTTTTCTTTTTTTTTTTTGAGACAGAGTCTTGTTCTGTTGCCGGGCGCCAGGCTGGAGTGCAGTGGCGCGATCTCGGCTCACTGCAACCTCTGCCTTCTGGATTCAAACAATTCTCCTGCCTCAGCCTCCCGAGTAGCTGGGACTATAGGCATGTGCCACCATGCCCAGCTAATTTTTGTATTTTTGGTACAGACAGGGTTTCACCATGTTGGCCAGGATGGTCTTGATCTCTTGACCTAGTGATCCGCCCGCCTCAGCCTCCCAAAGTGCTGGGATTACAGGCATGAGCCACCAGCTTTAAAACCTAACAGCAAATTTCTCCTAATAAATGCCCTGTTGACTGATACAGCCTAGAATGCACCACTTCATGGAATTTCAAAATTTCTGAGATGGAAGGAATCACAGTGTATTCTAACTGAAGGCTTAAATTCCTTCTATCATTAAATTTTATAGTTGGGCACTGTTCAAATAGAAAGGTTGTTGGAAGAAAAAGCAAAAGAGAAAAAGAACAAATTTCTTAGTTATTTCGCTTGGATCCAAACAGAACAAAAATTAATGTTCTGTGATTTCCGTACACCTACTGAGGGGGCTTTTTTCCTCTTTTTCAGATATAGAAAGGGGTTAGATGAAACAGGAGGGCTGATTCAAGAGGACCATTAGCAATCTCTTCTCTTACCTGCTTCCCTCCGTCCCTACAGATCTTCCTAAAAGACACAGCAAGTTAGGCAGAAAGACATGAGGCCATCTTTGAAAAACAGTCAGCTTGTGTCCAGGCCCAGGCACTGGGCATTCCAAAAGAAGGTGCATTTCTTTAAATGTATCATTACATTCTTCTTATATTTTTCTCACCAGTTTATGCATATTCTGTTTTTCCTACTCTTCTCATTCATTCATTCAGTCAGTCAGCCATTCT